GGGGGGGTGTCATTTAGAAAATAGGATGGAACATAATGTGTGTCCGTGTATTTTGTGTTATGATTAGGAACTTAAGGCACCTTCCCATTCGTGCAAAAGACCGAAAGACGGGAGTTCGAGTCTCATGCGATGAAGACAAGTTATCGAATATGTCGGTCTTTCTGCTGGGATGAAAACCGTGCTCGGCCTTTTGGCCTCAATAAGCGAGGTCGAAGCAGTCGGCCTTCTAGATGGTGTGAATTGTGTCGGTGCGGGCGTAAAACGTTTACGACAAAGAAATAGGAGACTGCTTCTTGAAGAAAGGCTGTCTGCCGCTGAAGGTCGTCTCCCTGGTTTCATGGGCGGCGATTGAGTGTCGGGAGCACAGGACTGAGAATGCGACGTCACTGTATCCAGACCACAATTTTGCGCTCTATTTATACTTTATAGATCCGTTCCCTTCCACTTCTTTTGAGCTTTATGGCCTCTTCCAGGCGGTCAGATTTGATGAGGCTGTCCACATCGAAAGGTCAAGGCCAGGGCACGATCACGGGTCATTCTGCTTGACCTCGCCGGAAGACTTTACTGCGCGTGGCTGGTGTCGTTTCGGTCGTGAACACCATCCCACTAAATGTTAATGCTTACATAATGCTAAATGGGGGTTCCCTCCTCCCTTTTCCCTTTTCTTTCTTCGTTTTGTAACACTTCCCCAGACTCTTTCGTTTAAGAACTACTGGTTAGAGTGTGTGGTATTACAAATGACGTATCTTTTAATTTCTCGGTTTTTATTCGGTTTCATTCCTGTGCTTCTTGCGCACTAAAAACAATTATATGGAATTCCGATATTCTTTCATAACCCGCGCTTTATTTTGTTTTTCAGTTGGGGTTTTGTTTAGTTGTTTTTTTTTAGGGGTGGGGGGTGGGAGAGGAGGTTTTTTAAAAAAGATTTAAAGAATTTTTTTACATGTTTTTACTCAAGACGGAGGAATAAATAGAAAGAATAAAAAAATTGGGATCGTTTGTGACACGCTTAAAACACGTGGACGCGGGGGGAGCGGTTAAGAGCGAAAATGTCAGTTATAATAACACCACAGAAATGTCACCTTTTGATTGACTGGCTGCTATTGTTCACTTTCCTCGATTTTCTTTCCTAATTTTTTCTCTTCCAGGCCCCTTTCACTGTCTTCTTACTTTCTTTCTTCTTTCTTTATTTCCTTTTTTCTTTCCTTCATTCTTTGTTTTCTTTCTTTCTTTGCTTTTCTCTGTCTGTCTGTCTGTCTGTCTGTCTGTCTGTCTGTCTGTCTGTCTGTCTGTCT